TCTCGGGCCTAGGGGGCTCAGGGCGTCGATTGACATTCACTACGATGCCTCTGACCGGGATGACTTACAGCCCGACGCTGGCTCTAAGAGCCGAATAAAATTAGAATGTAGTTGGCATTTCATGGTCACGCGATGACGCCACGAGAACAGCGGAAGCTTCGGCATTTGCACTCTCGTAAAATTAGTGAACACATATTACGAGCAAACAAATTTACGAAAAAATGTTACTGACTAATGTAACAAATGTTACGATCAAAATTATTCCGAGTTTCTCAACATTATTTTCTTCTGATTGCCTAGATAGTATTGGGAGCCCGTGATAGAACGCGCAGAACCCGGCAACGCCTCCCCTCTCCGCACCCAAATGTCAACTGCATTCTTATTTTATTCCTACTATAGCTACATAGTAATGACGAATTCAGCCACTGTCTGGAGAAGAATTCTAGCGGCCGGCTGCTCTGATCGGTAGTTTTCCATGGTTTCTCTGATCAGCACCTGGCGAATGCCGGAGCAGTACCTCTTATTTGCTGTGTGTTCAACTCTTGCTTTCACACACACCTACTCCCAAAGACAGCGCGCATGCAGCTGAAATACAAGTGGTGTGCGCAAACAATTATTATTATTATTATTATTATTATTACTATTATTATTATTATTATTATTATTTCCACTAAATTTAAGACTCAATACGTTAGATGAGGGTTAAGAAAGAAATCTACTTCAGGTTGCAACTGGGTTTCAAAGGAACATAAGTAGTGTCTCTTCTATACTTTGAGTTGTTCCCAATGACGCGACTTACAGTTTTATGAAAAACGTTGGATGTTGGGACATGTTCTTGTTTGTTCCATTTTGCAGAACCAATTCCTGGACTCAGATAAATATAAATTAGACTGCGTTTTTACTCTCGTAATCCAGCTAATCTCGATTTAAGATGTTTGTTACTAATAATAACTATTATAATAATTTTTATATAATTTACGATTAGGCAGTCGACTCTCCCATCATCACAGATAATCCTTCAATATTCTTCTCCGTCTTTTCGTACCTCTTCTTCCTTCCGATGCGTAGTAGAAAGCTTCTTTTGGAAACCTTGTATCTTCCATTCTTGCAATATGTTTTGTATGAATTTGCTTCTATATTCTTGCATTCTAGTGTTTATTGGCCCGACTTTCAATTCTTTTCTTATATTTTTGTTTATAACCCATTCCTCTATTGAACGCCCTTCAGTTATTATTATTATTATTATTATTATTATTATTATTATTAGTTTTTTGACGCGAATTGGCCGTCTAGGATTGCGCGGACATACACCAGCATGTACGGATGTGTAACATTTATCCTGTGGCAAGTGTATGTGACTTCTTTTGGGAAGTCCAGCATTATGCTGAATCCAATTTTTATATTCCTGGGTTGCTAGTCCTGGCGGGGAGTAAGATGAAACGATGATAATGAAGGATGATATTATTATTGGTGTTAATAATAATAGTATTAATAATAGTAATAGTAATACTGCTGTTGTTGTTTCCACTGTGCGCGTCCATTTTGCATGGGGTACGCAGGCGCAGCCGGTGAGCAACGAGGGGCTGGCCAACACGGTGGACGAGCTGGCGCTGTTCGTGCAGCGCGACGCCGGCCGCATCGAGCGCATCCGCAAGCGCTACGGCTCCACGTCGTCGGTGGGCAGCGCGGGCGGCGGCGCGCCGGGCGACGACGACGACGACCACGACGACTACGGCTTCAACCGGCGGCCGTCGGTGCGCGGCATCAAGCCGCGCTTCGGCTCCACCACCGAGATCCTGCAGCAGATGCAGACGCAGCTGCAGCCGCCCGCGCTCGCCTGCGCCGCCGCGCGCGGCAGCCACGTCACCTGGCCCTACGCGCCCTGGTACGTTCACTCCTCCGCTCCACCAGCTAGTCATCCTAGCCATATGCGCCATGGTAGGTTCACTCCACCAGTCAGGCATACAAGCCATATGCGCCCTGGTAGGTTCTCTCCTCTACTCAACCAGCCACGTCACCTGGCCCTACGCGCCCTGGTACGTTCACAACTTCACTCCACCAGCCAGGCCTCCTAGCAATACGCGCCACGGTAATTCACTCGCCCTCTCCCCCAGCCAGGCCTCCTAGCCGTACGCGAGACGCGCCATGGTAGGTACACCCCTTCACCTCGGCCACCTCACCACGTGGCTCTACGTGCAACGTGGTACGTACCACAC